CTTCAACCCGAAAAGCTCCAAAAGCCGTAAAAATACCCTGAACCCTAAAAGCTCTAAACCCTAAAAACCCTTAACCCGAAAAACCCTCAACCCCTAAATCCCAAAACCCTTCAGCCCCAAAAGTCGTAAAAACCGTAACAAAACCCGAAACCCTAGAAACGAACGTGCAGTCACTCTCGTCCACAAAACTCAAAAGTGCAGTCACTCAAAGCGCTACCTGTACATCAGAACAACAACAAAGAAACATGAATTTTTGCAATCTGGGTTCAATCCAGGCCCATCAGCCCTACGGCATCTGCGCCCCAAAACCCCAACACTCTAAGAACCCCCCAAAACCCCAAAAGCCCTCAACCCGAAAAACCCTAAACCCTGTCCCAGCATGCTCCATCACTGTCTGCAATGCCTTGTCGCTGTTTCGTACAGCCCAAGCAGCGTTTGAGTACACAACTCCATGGTTTGACACTTGGCAGTTTCCTGAGGAAACGCTTTGATCCACATGTAACGCCTGCCCCGCGCGCCACACGGCAGGCACCGCTCCAGGCAATTTAGGAATGCTTACAGGAAGGGCAGGCACTGACACCTGCGCTGGATATTCCATCGCTCCTTCTTTCAATCTCACTAATGCAATTCGCTATTTTCTTCGTCCGAATCCTTCGTCCGAAGTGCGAGCAGACTGTTCGCATAAACCCTCTATGAAAAGCCTAAACCCTCAAAACCATAAACCCGAAAAAGCCCTCAACCTTAAAAACCCTAAACCCTAAACCCTGAAATCTAAAGACCCTAAACCCTAAAAGTCCTAACCCCCAGTGAAAACCCTAAACTCTAAAAACCCTAAACCCTAAAAATCCTAAACCCTGAAAACCCTAACGCCAAAAATCCTTGAACCCCAAACCCCGAAAAGCCCTCAACCCGAAACCCTAACAAGCCTAAATCCCTAAAAGCCCTAAACCCTAAAACCACTATAGACCCTAAACCCTAAAAACCCTAAAAACCCTAAACCCTACAAACCCCACAACCCTAAGAAGCCCCCCAAAACCCAAAAAGCCCTCAACCCGAAAAACCCTAAAACCCTAACCCAGCATGTTCCATCACTGTCTGCAATGCCTTGTCGCTGTTTCGTACAGCCCAAGCAGCGTTTGAGTACACAACTCCATGGTTTGACACTTGGCAGTTTCCTGAGGAACCGCTGTGATCTCCGAATCCTTCGTCCGAAGTGCGAGCAGACTGTTCGCATAAACCCCAAAAATCCCACAAACCCCTAAACCATGAAAACCCTAAACCCTGAAAACCCCAAATCTAAAGACCCTAAACCCTAAAGATCCTAAACTTTTAATGAAACCCTAACTCTAAAAATCCTAACCCTAAAAAATCCTAAACCCTGAAAACCCTAAACCCAAGAATCCTTGAACCCCAAAACCCGAAAAGCCCTCACAAAACCCTAAGAACCCCCCAACACCCAAAAAGACCTCAACCCAAAAAAACCCTAAAACCGGAACATCACTGTCTGCAATGCCTTGTCGCTGTTTCGTACAGCCCAAGCAGCGTTTGAGTACAAAACTCCATGGTTTGACACTTGGCAGTTTCCTGAGGAACCGCTTTGATCCACATGTAACGCCTGCCGCGCGTGCCACACCAGGCACCGCTCCAGCCAATTTAGGAATGCTTACAGGAAGGGCAGGCACTGACACCTGCGCTGGACATTCCATCGCTCCTTCTTTCAATCTCATTAATGCAATTCGCTATTTTCTTCGTCCGAATCCTTCGTCCGAAGTGCGAGCAGACTGTTTGCATAAACCCTAAGAACCCACAAACCCCTAAACCATGAAAACCCTAAACCCAAAAAAATGAACCCGAAAAAGCCTTAAACCTTAAAACCCTAAACCCTACAAACCCCTAAACTGAAAACCCTAAACCGGTAAGTGTGTTTTTTTTTGCTGCGGGTGCTTTTTTTGGTTGCAGTGCGGGGCGCGCTTTTTTTCGGCTGCGGGCGCGGGCGCGCGTTTTTTTTTGGTTGCGGGCGCCATGGGCGCGCGTTTTTTTTGTTGCTGCGGGTGCAGGGGCACGTTGTCTTTTTTGTTGCGGGTGCCGTGGGAGCGCGTTTTTTTTTTGCTGCGGGTGCGGAGCGTTTTTGCTGTTTTACTAAGAAAACCTCTATTTTCTCCATAACTTAGTAGGAAAACCTCTTACAACCCTCTGCGGGTGATCGCCGGGTCGCGGCGCTAAAACCGTCGTGTTTGGTACTTTTTTTCGCGCGCGCGCGCGCGCAGACACACTCTGCGGGTTTCGGCGTTGGCGCGGTGCCCCAACCGTCGTGTTTTTGCGCTTTTGACATACAAACGTAACCCCTCTGCGGGTATCGGCGTTGGCGCGGTCCCAGAACCGTCGTGTTTGCGCGTTTCTTGACATACAAACGTAACCCCTCTGCGGGCTTTCGCGCGGTCGCGGTGCCAAAACCGTCGTGTTTTTTGCGTTTTTTTCGACTTTTGTAGTACAGACGTAGTACGCCGACGTAGTACGCCGGGGACTGCCGTGGCTTTTTTTTTTACTCTTGTAGTACAGACGTAGTACGCCGGGGACTGCGGTGGCTGGAAAGCCGACTTTGCTAATACAAATCTAGTACGCGATCGAGCTTGGCCCAATTCCTTCTGTGACTCGAAGAGTTGAGAGGCTGCGTACAGAGGTGACACCAGTGACTGGAGCTCTCCGGCCGACTTGATCTGCAAAAACATCACGTAGGCTTGGTTGAGCCTTTGTGCTGCTAATGCATCCTGGACGTCCGGAGCTGGCGTGGCTGGAAAGTCGACTTTTGTAGCACAGACGTAGTACGCCGCGGACACGCTTCCGTGGCTGGAAAGTCGATTTTTGTAGTACAGACGTAGTACGCTCCGCGCGCGTGAAGACACGGGGATGTTTTTGTCTTTTCTCGTCGAAAACCTCGCAAATATCCTGGGACTCGAATTCCGGGATGTCGAAACCATCGCAAATATCGTGGGACTCGAATTCCTCGAAAAACCTCGCAAAATTTCGTGGGACTCGAATGCCGGGGCCTCGAAATCCTCGCAACTATCGTGGGACTCGAAGTCCGGGATGTCGAAACCATCGCAAATATCGTGGGACTCGACAGCCGTCGAAAACCACGCAAATAGCGTGGGACTCGAATTCCGGGATGTCGAAACCCTCGCAAATATCGTGGGACTCGAATTCCGGGGCCTCGAAAACCTCGCCAAATTCCGGGGCGTCGAAAACCTGGCAAATATCGTGGGGCTCGAATGTGAATGCCACGCAGTGGAAGTGCATAGAAGTGCAGTGCACAGAGTCTAGAACCATATAAGTGCATACAGTTGTCCAAGTGCATTCAGTTCAAGTGCATATCAGCCTCTTGGACAGTTCTGGTCGAATGACTTGCTCAAGTGCATAGAGTTCAACAGTGTCGAGTTCAAGTCCGTTAACCTCATATGTAGAGAATTCCAATGAAGTGCATAGAGTTGACCACAAGTGCATGGCATTTAAGCATACACGTCCAGTATACCAGTGCAGTATACAAGTGAGTATGCAACCATGTAAGTGCATACACTTGTCCAAGTGCATACAATTCGGGGGCAAGGAGTCAAGTGCATGGAGTCAACGCACGGCAAATCGATGCTTTCGGGCCATCCCTCTTCTAGTTTTGATATGGAACCTCGTTTTTTTTTTGAATATCAAGACCTCTACATTGTAATATGAAAACACTGTGTATTTTCGCTATATTTTCGTATGAAAACCTCTATTTCCTCTTTTTGTCATAGGAAACCCTCTAATTTCTCTATATTGTATGGCGAAAACCTCTATCCTAAAAGCCCTAATAAAAATCCTAAACCCTGAAAACCCTACAGTAAACCCCAAAAAGTTGGAAACCTTCTTCAGGACAAATAGTGATGGGATTCCCTATACTTTACTCTTAGGGATTGAGGCTAGTGAGTTTCCAACTTTTTGGCTTCCACTATAAACCCAAAAAACCGTGAACCCCAAACCCGAAAAGCCCTCAACCCGACACCCAAAACCCCAAGAACCCCCCAAAACCCCAAAAGCCCAAAAGACCTCAACGCAAAAAACCCTAAAACCGGAACATCACCGTCTGCAATGCCTTCTCGCTGTTTCGTACAGCCCAAGCAGCGGTTGAGTACACAACTCCATGGTTTGACACTTGGCAGTTTCCTGAGGAAACGCTTTGATCCACATGTAACGCCTGCCCCGAGTGCCACACAGCAGGCACCGCTCCAGGCAATTTGGAATGCTTACAGGAAGGGCAGGCACTGACACCTGCGCTGGATCTTCCATTGCTCCTTCTTTCAATCTCACTAATGCAATTCGCTACTTTCTTCGTCCGAATCCTTCGTCCGAAGTGCGGGCAGACTGTTTGAATAAACCCTAAAAGCCCCACAAACCCCAAAACCATGAAACGCCTAAACCCTCAAAACCATAAACCCGAAAAAGCCCTAAACCTTAAAGAACCCTAAACCCTACAAGCCCCTAAAACCCTACAAACTCTAAACCCTCGAAAACCTAAACCCTAAAACCCCTAACCCTAAAAACCCTAAACCCCAAAAATCCTAAACCCTGAAAACCCTAAACCCAAAAAACCCTAAACCCCAAAACCCTAAACCCCAACAACCCTAAACCCAAAAAACCCTAAACCCTAAACCCCAAAACCCAAAAAACCCTAAACCCTCAAAACCCGAAACCGTGACCGCCCGTGCTTTGTTGTAGCCGCAGGACCAGTTTTGTCATGAACAGCAGGGGGGGGGGGGGGGGGGGGGGGGGGGGGGTGGGGGGGAGGGGGGCGACCGTATGTGCATGTCATACGTGATACGCAAGGCACAGCCCAATGAAGCACAGGTGTCACTTTGCTACGTGGTATGTGAGTAGTCTGAGTAAGCGTGACATTTCCCTTGCTCAAACGCTTCGCTTTTTGTGTAGATGTGCTTAACAACATCACTGTCGGTCAGTAACCTGCAGCGCGCCTCCTCGACGGAAATTTGAGGAAGCAGGACCGACCCCAGACGCGCACGGTCCACCACCCCAGGCGCATGGTCCTGCTTGGCATATGTTGAGGTACAGGGATGCGGCAATGTCAATGCGCCCGCAAAGCGTGGTGGTATCGTGTGCCCAAAAACTTGTCGTTGAACCCTCCTCGTCTAAAAAGAAGCTGGTCAGCTCTTCCGCGAATCCGTCAGAAGGGCGCTGCTCACGCTCAATGTACTCCTGTTCCCCACTTTCCCACATGTAAGGGACGAACCCATGGAAGCTACTCAAACAACTCCACGCTGGCCGACTGAAACACACATCTCCGTTGGCCACGGCCTCCTCGAACTCGGCCAGCATGGAGCGTTTGGCCCGCAGCACCTGCCAGCGATACCAGAGACAACATACACATGATGGCAAAATGGGAACATAGGGCAGTGCACGGAGCCAGCCAATGGTAAAGTCTCAGTCTTGCGTGTCTGCCTACAGCGCTGCCCCGGTTTTAGTCGCTCACGCTCGCACAAGGCAGGCAAGGTCCATCGGTCCGAGTGATACCGTAAACCCTAAATCGGGTACTTCGGGGCTGCGGGGCAGAAAGGGGGCTTTTGGCTTTCGCCACCAGAAGCTTGCAGCCACCTGTGCCAAGGCCGCTCCGAGCAGAGAGCAGCAGACTGCAAAGCGGGAGCGTAGGAAACGGGGCCGATGGCATCGGAGGGCATGCAATGCCGACAAGTTGAGAAGAGACTGGAAAACTAGCATGCAAAGAGGCTCAATTTCGCCATCGGGCAGGCTCGAGCCCATGACAAGGTAACCGTCTCTGGGCTGGCCGTCAAGCCTTGTCCCATCCAAGAGTATTCTAGCGGCGAGCGCTCGAGGCGACCTCGCACAAAACGTGTGTCTACTCCACCCACTCCACTTCCTCTTGGGGAAAGGTGCGTTTGCAGAGGCGCTTTCGCCTGAGGAGATAGCACTACTGCAAAAAATTGTTGGGCAGCTGTTCTGTGGATGTTTTCAACTTGCCGTAGTCCCGCTCTCGCAGTACATGCTGTCATGCCGTGAGGACTTCTGCGCTATCCTTCGCAAGGTTTCTGCGCGGAAGCCTTTCTTACTTCAGACCACCAGCAACTTGGTTACGACCACACAAGTAGGAGCGAGCAGCAGCTGCAACCGGGGCCGTCACGGCCAAGTCAAGTGCAGCAACAGTACCAAACAAAGAGAGCAAAACAAGATCAGCCCGCCCGGTGCGCCCGTCACGCATTCTTTCAGCAGCCACACAACAGAGGGAAAAAACATTTCCTTCGAATATCCCCACCTTGACCCTCGTCAAAAAGAAAGAACGGGTTGGGCACTCCAGGGACACTCTGCACTGGACACTCTGGGGTTGGGCACTCCACACTCCAGGGATGAGCCGAAGGTGGGGAACAACATAAGAACTGCCCTGACACGGACCTAGAACTTGGTTGCAATGTTGGATGCTGGTTCAGGCGCAGGGTTAGGGTTTAGCGCGGCACGGCTATTGTCTATTTCATTTGTGGTGCAAGATACTGCATATCATAGAGTTTGGTGGGATCAAGGAAGAGATAGGAAGATGGTCTTTGGGGTGTTGCTGGTGTTGTGGTAGGTTCGAGTCAACTTGCGAAAAGAACAGCGATATTTCGGGCTTTCGTGCTTCCTGCAATCGTGAATCAACTCCTGAAAAAACTTCGATTGAAAACAACCCCACAGAACTTACTATTCAACTTTACGCGAGTCCCAAGCTTTGGCCCAAGCTCTACATAGGCCAATGTAATGTTGCTTGCCCAGCAAAAGCCTCCGGGAAGTCGTTGGGCTTCCAACCCCTTTCTTGAAGTTGGGCGGCTGCAACCAAAAGGCAGGGGACACATCGAACTAAGTCCGGTGAAACACAAGAAAGAAAGAGCGCGGTGTTTCTTACACACGCGGGCGTAGCTCACGGCTCACCAAGCCGGCAAGGACCCTTGCTCCAGGGCACCCTGAACCGATAAACGACGACAGTGACCGCATCATCTGTATCTCGGCAGGGCACGTTGCTTGCGTGGAAAGGTCAGCAACGCATGGATTTCGGGACGACAATCCACACGTCATTCGTCTTACCTTGTCAACGGGCCCGCAAGCGGCCCGCGCCACCGAGTCCACCAGCGAAGCCTCAACCTACTGGGGTAGCCGCATCTAACCGTATCGCACATTCCGGTACAGTTGCCTGAGCCTCCCTCCCTGGCCTGTTTATGGCAAACATTTCGTGCCTGAGCCTCCGCTGCCAACTTATTCTTGAGGCAACGTTAACTATGCCTGAACCTCCCGGCAATAGTTTGGCAGAGTTGCCCGCCTGACCTTCCTTTACCTGCCCCGCAGACTTGTCCGCCTGATTTAGGCAGCAATCCAGAACCGTCGGCCGCTTATTGAGGCAACTTGCCGTGCCTGAACCTCTCTGGCTTGCTTTCTGCCGTCACATTCCGGAACAGTTGCACGTCTTTTCATGAATGTTGTCCTGCCTGAGAGCTGTACAGCTGCTTCGCTGGCTTCGTTGAGCTGCTCCAAGATTGGACCCCATACTTCCGGACAGCCGGTGGCACAGCATCACGTGCCAATAGCCAGAGTTCGTAATTTCGTTGTTTCGATGCATATTTCAACACGTTTGCATGCCACAGCTGCCGCAGAAGAACATTTACACATTCTGACAGCATCAAAAATTCTCGCACACACACGTTTGGGCCCCATAGGGCCGGCTGCCAACTCCTACTCTTGAGGTTTCGCAGACCTGGAAACAAGATGCCCCCACTATGCGATACAGCCTCTTTAGGGGCAGAGAGGGAACCGGCAGGCGGGGGGGGTCCACCGGGTCCAGAGCAGAGGTTAAAAGGGGGGCTCGGGGAATGGGGCGGCCTCCTCAGCCTGTATGGAGCCGTCGGGCAAACGCGCTCTCAATGCCGAGGCTGTCCCCGCACCGGGCAGGCAGGAGGACGTGGAAGGAATTGCAAGCTTTCGGCCCGGCAAGGCTGGTCCGTGTGTCTGTGAATGCGCTTACGGGCCACGAAGGCGGCTGTGCCTCTTGACCCGGTCCCCCGCCCTCGGCGTGAGCTCTGAAACTGAAAACCGGCCCTTTCCCTCCAGAAGCCGTCCACAAAATCAGCTGGCCTTACGGGTCGGCTGTATTCGGCCTTGTTTCCTCGACGGGCGGTCGCTTTGAAAACTCCAAAGTGCATCACTTGGACCGTCGACATGCGCATCCCATGCCCGACCAGCTGCCGAGGCCGCGCAAGAGTTTACAATTACCCAGAGTTGAACATCATTGAGCACGGCCAAACCACGCCTCCGCACCATGAAAACCGAATCGGCGGATTCGCTCGAGCTCCCTGACAAGGAGGAGCTTTCAAAAAGTGATAGCTCTGCCTTGCTGAGTCTTGCTCACGCCTCAGCAAGCCAGCGAGAGCTGGGCGAACTCGCCCAGGCAGAGGAGCCAAGCTGGCACTCAACGGGCTCCTTTGCAGAGAGCAGCAGCCTCAAAAAGTGCCTTTCCCCCTAGAGCTGCGCTACGAATCACCTGGCCCAGCGGTTGCAGTTTTGACTCTTCTCCAAGGCTCAGAGCCGGCAAAGGATCTGAGGTGTCGGTGCCAGCAGAGAAGAAGTCCCGTGGACCTCCTGAAGGAACAGATTTGTGCTCGAGCTTTGCAAGCCAACTTCTGGAAAGTAACATGGTATAACGGCAACCTGGCCAAAGCAACATTGCATTGGAACTCGCTTGGACATCCTAAATCGCGAATGCGGCTCGCCACATACCAGGCTCCTTCGAGGGGGCCTTGCAAGGTCAACCTCAACAACCTGGCGCTGAAGGCGCGATGGAAAAGATCCTCCTGAGCTCGGTATGTCATGTCTAATGTCCTGCACAGCTTGCCTGAATGTCCGGCTCTTGCTCATACCGTTCATACCCTTATTTATGGCCATCGCTCCGTGATCCGTCGTCGGACATCACGGACAAGCCGCACAGGAGTACCTGCAACGTAGTAGCATCTTGAGGGACGTTGCCGAGCAACCCTACTGCGGCACGCACCACTCCCCGTGATTCTGATGCTAGTGAATAAACGCGGTCAAGAAAAACTAAACATTGAACTGTGTTCCTGCAAGGGGCCAACACCCATCTGACCCTGCTGCATTCTCGCTTCTACCCATCTGTCCCAAAAAAATCGTTTCCCCCCAAAGTCCAGGAAGCCAACATGTGCAAGAGGGGCGTGGTCGCTTGCAGTCGATCATGCTCCTTAGGTTGTGCAACACAGCATGACTTCTCGCAGCCTCACAACTCATCCGTGAAACCGTACCTCCAGCAACTTCATTGCTTGCCAGGTCTCTGTGCAAAGCTAAGCTCTGGGTCTGTGCTGCTGGCCACACGGACCTCGCTTAGAAAAGCTGCGTCATGCCTCCCATGGGCCACTAAGCACCGGACGCCCTCGGAGTTCGGCACAGCATACCTGCCGATCAAAAGTGTTGGAACTACTCCCGGACAATAACTCCCAAAATCTGGTTGCCATGAGTATCAGCCATGTAACTATTTGGCATCTTTCGTGCGCCTCTCTTATTCCTATTCTGGAACCTGAACTGTTATGGCTCTCAAATGCGATTCTGTATTGGAAATGCTCATTCTTGTTTCGGCCGCCTGAGACAGCCTTGATAGGCAGGATTGCTGCGTTTCCTTCCCCAGACGTCATGTGAGCATTCATATATCACAACCAGGGCCAATAAAAGAAAACGAAATACCAAGGCCACCCAAACAAGTGGTAATCATGAAGCTTTGGAGTTCCCATGGTCGTCTCCACCATGTGTGCTGAACAAACTTTTGTTTGAAGGACTACTTGCACCTTCCATGCACAAGTGTCTTAGTACTAGTTGCTGTGACGAACTGCATTTCGTCCCTGTTGTGCAGGGAGATGCTCATTACGCCGAAAACTCCCGTGGCAAGCCAAAGCTAAACTAGAGCTTCTGTGAGCCCTACTACTAATCGGTGTCCCATGCGCCATCTCAAGCAAGCATCTGAACCCAGGCAGATGCGAAGAGCAAGCGCAAATCGTGCGTCATGCAAAGCGGCCAGCGCCTGGGACGCTCCGGTGCTGCAGCCACAGGGCATCGAGGAAGTGGGGATATCTCCTTACTGCTCAGAAAACTGAATCACGGGACTCGGAAGGTCTGTGTGCAAGGCCGGTCCTCCGGAGGAATGTCGAACAGCTCCTCGTTTCAAGCCATGCAAGAACTGCATGCAACTACGTTTCCAACGAGTGAATAACAATTGAACGTCTTGCCAAAATGAGTTTGTTGTCCTTTATTTGCATCTCGACGAGAGATTCATCGAAATCACCAACAGCCACAATCGCCATACGTGCCGGATGATAAAACCTTCCACAAGCAGCACAATTCATGCCTGAATGAATGACCCCACCTAAACCTAAACCAGCCGAACATCGAAAATCAGAGCCCGGCTTTTGATAGAAGTGTCGAAGCGTTTGGGATGACACCGAACGGATGACATCCTCCTTCCTGAGATGTTGTTGTTTGCTGCCCGTCAGCCCGTCAGCCATTCTTCGCGAAGATCGCTAGTGATGTGCTTTGCCAAGTATCCCAATAGGGAGTCGCTCGCAGTATCTGCAACCAGCACCACAAAGTGCCTTGCCATGGAATCGACAAGAAATTTGCAGAACCATCCAGCAAAAATATCAGAACAATCAAAACTGCCTGGATGTACCTCTCGCTGAGGCGCCCCTGGGCACTGCGACTTTCGCGCCATTCCTGCGAGAACCACGATTGCAAAAAGCTCCCGGTTACACTCTGAAAAGGCACGTTCAAATCAGGACTTGCATCCTCCAAGACGACTTTTCGCTCTTTCTCTAAATCCTCATCCGAGATCCGAGTGAAATACGCAAATTCGCGCAAAACCTTCCTTAGCTGATGCCATGACACGTGTAAGACAGAAGTCGTCGGAACCAATAAAGCAGCAGGGTGCACCTCGCCACGTTCTACGAGTATTCTCCGACACCCGGAAACTCAGCATGCAATGGCAGGGAAATGCTGCGGGAAAAGAATGAATGCCAACCGAACAAGTGCACCGCGCAGTCCCACTTCTAGCGCCATGCCTGAGAACCGGAGCACACAAGATCACACAAAAGCAAAAACGGACCAGCTTTGCTTAGTGAACGCACTGCACGGTGTTTTATGTTGTGAGTGGCTATTCAGTTGAACGGCTGAAGGAAGGCTATTGTTGCTATTCCCACTTGCAGACGCGGCGGAAGTTTCCAATGCGAGGATGTTTTCTGTTAGGGGCGTCCTCGCCTCAAGTGCAATTGCCTGAGAGATTGCGATGTTGAACACGAGTTGTGTTGGGATTGGCCAAGTGCTGTGCCGGCTGCTTGGGTAGGATCTGTGCGATCGGAGCTTGGTCGCAAGCCAGGAAACAGGCGGCATTGGTCAAAGGCTTGACGCCCAATACAATGCTGACACGGAAGCGCAGGCCCGAGCTTTAGCCCGTTGGCAGCTCACCGGCGCTGCCTGGGTTGACGCGGTGCTCGTGGGCCTCTTGATTAATTTGGTTGTTACGCCCATGTCGAGGCGCCCGGAGTTTCATAGCAGTGAGCAGCTTCCTTGTCTTTCGGAAGGCCCAACGTCATTTTTGGCACGTCGTTGTTATCTTTTTTTTTCTCACGCACCTTTTTACTCGCGGGGAGTCTGCTCTCTTCCTGCTGCTGCGGCTGCTGCTGCTGCTGCTGCCGCTGCTACTACGAGCAGTGGGTCCAGGGCGGCAGCGGCCCATGCCCCGGCCTGCTGGGCTGGGGCGGGGGGGCACCCGCAAGGAGCTCCCCCAGAGCGAGCTCCTGCCCGTCGAGCGGGTCAACCGGTTCACCCACTGGAATCTCTAGCTGCGTGCACGCGTGGGCGCGGAGCGCCGCGAGCGCTGCCAGGGTGGTCCACCGGTGCACCATCGCTTGGCGGGCCGCGGCCGCGCACCATGGCGCGCGTTGGCGCGCGCGGGCGCGTGCGAGCAAGCGCAGGAAGGTGAGGGTGCTCTGGCTGAAGCACCCGCCCAGTTCAACAGACGACCAGCTTGCTAGCCGAAGGGGGAGTTGGGCTCGCCGCGCGCTCAGTTCCGGCATCGTCCCCGTGTCCCCGCCCCCCGCCAGCAGAGTTGCTAGGCAGCTGTGGAACTGGTTCGCAGTATGCTCTGGCGGGCCTGTGACGTATACGTCGTCGAGGCAGGCGAAGAGTTGGTCCGTCGAGCGCACGCGGGCTTGCACTGCCGTCAACGCCGCATGCTGCCCCAATGCGGACAGGGCTGGCATTAGGGGGTCCCCCTGTTCCCCACCTTCTCCCTGGCGCACTTCGTGCGCTGTGCCTTGCCTCATGCCGGTTGAGGAACTGCGACGCCGCGAACAAGCGTTCCTGGCGGGGCACTGGCCCGAACTGCTCCGCCATGGCGCAGCCGCAGCAACACCAGCGCCGAGGGATGCGGCCCGGCCGTCCGAGGGTAATGTAGCAAACGGGGCAGAGGCCGAAGATGTCGACCTCCGCCGTCGCTCCGAACGAGCTTCAGCTCTAGCCCACCTTGGTGAGCTTTCCGCGGCGGCCAAGACGCTTACTGCTTTGACGCGGGATTGGCCTGGGGCACGGATTAACAGCATGCGGGGCGCCAACATGAAGAGCTTCCATCCGTCACACTCGTCTTCGATAGTGGCGGCGTCGCGCAACGTCTCCAACGCCGTTCGAAAGGCAGTGCGCAGCAGTCCTCTGAGTTGGCGAGGCGGCGTTTGGAAAGTGTAGACACGCTGGCTAAGGAGCTCGCTGAGCTGCAGCGGGCGGAGGATGCCGAGGTGGCTGCGCAGTGTCGGCGACGAGGCGGGGTGTGCCGGCACAGGCTCTGGGACTGCCTCGGCATCATCCTCCTGGGCGTGCGCGGCGCCGCATGCTGGGTCACCGCGGCGGCAGCGTCCACGGCCCTTCCCCCGTGCACCACGTCCTCGGCGCCCGCGTCCATTTGGGTTTCCGCCGTTCGCCGCGGCGGCGGCCATGACTCCGTCGTCGGCGTCCGGGGTCAGTGCCAAGCTGGCCGCCCGCGTGTCTGCTTGCATGCGCAATGCGATGTCATGCGCAATGCGATGTCATGCGCCTCGGTGGCCGTGGCGAGTCCCCCGAATGCTTCGAGCAACGCCGATTGCGCTGCGGCAGACAGGTACCCTTCGTCATCCATACACGCGGCGACGGCTGCCCCGAGGCTCAGCGGCGCTGCTTGGGGCAACGCGGCAAGTTCGGCCACGAGAACTTCGTCCCGTGGCGAAAATTGCTCCTGCGCCTCGCTGGCGTCGAGTTGGGCAACGGCATGCATTTGCCGGGCCAGGGTGCGCGGGTCAACCGGCCACGAGTCGCGCAATGCGCGGACCACGTCAAGCCAACGTTGGCCTATGCGCGCCTCTTGGCTCCATGCCCGGCAGGCGGCATCGGTGAGGTGACCAGCCGCTTCCTTGCATCATGTGGGGGTTGTTCGATATTCTTGTGCCGATGAGTGACCATTTAATACCCCTTGCGCCCGCCCTTGCGCGTTCTTGCGCACTTCTTGCGCGCGCACCAGTTTTTTGCATAATATCTATATGTTGAACTCTAAACCCTACATGTACAACCCAAAACTCCCAAAACCCTTAACCCCGAAAGCCCTAAACCCTTTCGTACTGCAGCTTTCAATCTTAGGTTGGTGAAGAGCCGTGGCAGGCACAAGACCCCATGGAACTGAGCCACGTCAACACGCGCACGTTCAGATATGCCATGCTTGAGGGTTAAAGGTTGAGCGCTTGTCTCTGCTCCTTGGCGATTTCTTGTTGCAAAGCCTCTGGGCCCATGCCTTCCGTGGCGACGCACGGCTTGAGCCGCCCTTGCGCGTTTCTTGCGCCAATCTTGCGCAAGAAATGCCGACACGTCTACGACCTCACTGGCCTATCAAGCCATACTACTATACTATACGGTTGTAACCGCCCGCCGGTCATATGAAGCCCAAATACGCTGAAACCTGCACTGGGTGCGTTTAGGGGCGGTCCCTAAACGCACTCGCATTGGGGCTTGAGGGTTAAGGGGCAGGATATTCTATCAGTATGAACCCCAAATAGGCTGAAGCCTGCACCACGGGTGCGTTTAGGGGCGGTCCCTAAACGCACTCGCATTGGGGCTTGAGGGTTAAGGGGCAGGATATTCTATCAGTAGGAACCCCAAATAGGCTGAACCTGCACCACGGGTGCGTTTAGGGGCGGTCCCTAAATGCACTCGCATTGGGGCTTGAGGGTTAAGGGGCAGGATATTCTATCAATATGAACCCCAAGTAGGCTGAAGCCCGCACCACGGGTGCGTTTAGGGGCGGTCCCTAAACGCACTCGCATTGGGGCTTGAGGGTTAAGGGGCAGGATATTCTATCAGTATGAACCCCAAATAGGCTGAAGCCTGCACCACGGGTGCGTTTAGGGGCGGTCCCTAAACGCACTCGCATTGGGGCTTGAGGGTTAAGGGGCAGGATATTCTATCAGTATGAACCCCAAATAGGCTGAAGCCTGCACCACGGGTGCGTTTAGGGGCGGTCCCTAAACGCACTCGCATTGGGGCTTGAGGGTTAAGGGGCAGGATATTCTATCAGTATGAACCCCAAATAGGCTGAAGTCTGCACCACCGGTGCGTTTAGGGGCGGTCCCTAAACGCACTCGCATTGGGGCGTGAGGGTTAAGGGCAGGATATTCTATCAGTATGAACCCCAAATAGGCTGAAGCCTGCACCACGGGTGCGTTTAGGGGCGGTCCCTAAACGCACTCGCATTGGGGCTTGAGGGTTAAGGGGCAAGATATTCTATCAGTATGAACCCCAAATAGGCTGAACCCTGCACCACGGGTGCGTTTAGGGGCGGTCCCTAAGCGCACTCGCATTGGGGCTTGAGGGTTCAGGGGCAGGATATTCTATCAATATGAACCCACATAGGCAGAAGCATTCCTTCTAAACGCAATCGGGTTTGCCACGATGTTCTTATGTATAGATGGCTTTGTCTTGTATATAGATACATTAGCTATGATAAAATACACCCCTGCGCGCACTTGCGCCCGCCCTTGCGCGCTCTTGCGCCCACACCACGTTTGAAAGGCTTTTTCAAGAGTGGCCTTATGAATAAATCGCCGCTGTAGTACTACGTCAAGAGCCGGGGGTTTAGAACAACCCTTATGTATTGTTGTCGAGTCGCCGTGTATGGTGATGCTGTTACGTCATGTATTATGTTTCACTTTCTGACCATAACACATGGTCGTTCGAAGACAAGTCTCTCTCGGGTCGTTGCCCCGGCGCGCACGTATTCCGGGTGGCCGACCGGCATGCCCAACACAAGCAAGCCGCACTCCGCCAGGGGTCGGTCCCCGCGCCACACGTCCGTGCCCAGCTCGGCCACTCCGGGTGGTGGCGGGCCCCCTGCCGGGCTGTAGACACGGATTTTGCCTACATTGGAAGCGATGCCGCACTCATCTTCGACGCGGTGAACCACCGCGTCGCGGCACTCCCTCGCACACGGTCCCGATTGGTGACGACGCAGCGGTCGTCAAGAAAGGCAAGGAGGCTCCCGGAGCGTGCGAGGCATGCGGTCGAGCTGGGGGGAAAGTGCGCGCCAACTGTGCTGCCAGCAGGGCCAGAGCACACGATCGCGAAAGTGTGGGGTCTGCGACGCGCGGTCATGCGGTCAATCTTCGGCACCTGGCACTACTGGTCCACGTGCTGTAAGGTGCGCCATTTCTGGTAAGGCGTCGAGGAGCACACAGATGTCCTCGCACCAGGACCGCCGAAACATGGCCCAGTTTCGGGCTTCCTGTCCACGCGCTCCGCCATTGCCAGTTCGTGAAGCGTCACCAAGTTCCGTGTTTCTCGTCCGCGCCGACGACA